CCTGAATTCAAATCCAGTGTCAGACACATAACACTTACTAGCTATGTAACTCTGGGCAAGTCACTTAACCCCAATTGCCTTGTTTTAAAAAAAATGATGCTGAAGCAGCTAGATGGTGCAGTGGACAGAGCATTGGTCCTGGAGTCAAGAGGACCTGAGTTCAAATCTGGCCTCAGACACTTGACACTAGCTGTGTGACCCTAGGCAAGTCACTTAACCCTAACTGCCTCACCCAAAAAAAACAAACAAACAAATTAAAAAAAACAATGAAACAAAACAATAGGTAGGTGGCACAGTAGATAAAGCTCTGGCCTTAGAGTCAGGAGGACCTGAGTTCAAATCTCACCTCAGATACTTGAAATTTACTAGCTGTGTGACCCTGGGCAAGTCACTTAACCCTGATTGCCTCACCAAAAAGCAAAAACAAACAAACAAACAAAAATGAAGCTGAAAATTGTCTGTCTTTGCATGTAATTGGAAAAAAATAAAATACTATTGATTTTTTTAAAGAAATCATTCACCATATAAATTCAGTAGTATTCACATATAGCCAAAGCAATATTTTCAAATTTGCCTTGAAAACATAATCTCCCAAAACATTAGTAATCATTGAAAACAACAGGAATTCTGTAACTTTGAACATTTAAATATTTCCTTTATGCAGAAAATTTTTTTAATAGAACAAAGAACCAACACACCACCTAACATCTCTGTCAAGAAAGATAAAAGCTGGGGGCAGTTAGGTGGCACAGTGGATAGAGCACCAGCCATGAAGTCAGGAGGACCTGAGTTCAAATCCAGCCTCAGACCAAACACTTGATACTTACTAGCTGTCTGACCCTGGGCAAGTCACTTAACCTCAATTGTCCCCCCAAAAAAGAAAAGAAAAGAAAGATAAAAGCCAATTTCCTTTGGTTAGTAAGGTAAAGAAGATTAATTTGGACTTTCTGTCCAGTTCTGACATTCTTTAATTCTGTGAAAAGAAGCAAGCTTGTCATTTTGTTATAGGAAAATTTGAGAAGGAAAAGATCATTTTCGGGAAGCAGATGGGAAAAACTATGGGAGCTCACAGCAAAGCAAAGCTGTGTGATAGAGAGGATTCTTGTTCAGGTTAAGGGGTTGGACATGATAGCCTCTGAAATCCCTTCTAACTCAAGAATTTCCCACAATTATATAAACAAAATGTCCCTGATACTTCCAGCCTGAACTGTTGCAATAGCCTCCTGACTGGCCTCCCTGCATTCAGCCCTTTCCCACTGAGATCCATACTCTAGAAAGCTGTCAAAAATTATATTCCTAAACCTTAAACCTAACTACACTACTCCCTTGCTCAAAATATTTAAATTGACTTCTGTTGTCTCTAGGATAAAAAACAGATTCCACTATTTGGCATTTAAAACCCTTTACAATCTGGCTCCTGTCCATCTTTCTATGGCTATGTTTTACTCCTCTAGCCTCCCAAATTGCTTTCCCTCATACAGGACATTTCAGCTCTCACTTCCATGCCTTTGCACAGGATTTCCATAGCTGGAATGTTCTTCTTTACCTCTGGCCTCTTGGAATCCCTAGGTTCCTTCAAGATTCAGCTCAAGTGCTACAACATATAAAGAGGTCTTTCCTAATTTCCCCAGTTTAGTCTTCCCTCTCCCAAATTATTTTATACATATCTTGTATTTATTTATCTTTGAACATGCTGTATCCCCTTAGCAGAACCTTAAGGATAGAAACTATCTCATTCTTGTATTTCCAGCACCTATCACAGTGCTTAGAATATATTCTGATATATCTATACGTCTGCAGAAAAAGGATAGAATAAAATAGCAATACTTTTTAAAAATATATTAATTCTACATTTAGTTCACAATCCATACACAAAACTATATATTTGTAGATGGCACACCATCAATAAATTAGCAAAATATTTTACACAATATATTTATATAGTGATAAGGCAGTTCTGGGTAGACATTATAAGACTTGAATTTCATTTCTACCTCTGAAAAAAGTGTGAGCATAGAGAAGTAACAATCTCTCTGTGTCCCAGGTAACAACTATATGACTATCTATATTACAAATAGTTGCTCATCTGAATTAATAGATGGAATTTCTACATGAGAAGCTCCCTATACTAGTAAAATCACAAGGATAGATTAGATAGATAACAACCAAAAAATATATTTTCATTAACAATGAAAACACAATGCTCTTGGGAAGGGTAAAAATTGTATCCAAAAAGTCCAAAAACTGAATTTCAGATTGTTGCCTTTTTTGCTACATGCTTCATGATGCATGAATAATATGGGTAAAAGAGTCAATTAGCAGAATGAGTGGTTTTTGTTGCATATTAGATTTTGAAAAACAAAATTTGGTAGAAACTCTCATCTTTCATATCCTAATTTTTTACTTTTTATTTATTTGTTTATTTTTAGTTTCCAACATTCACTTCCATAAGTTTTTGAGTTTTAAATTTTCTACCCCTTCGTTTCCTCCTCCCTCCCCCAGACAGCGTGCAATACGATATAGGCTCTACATATACATTCATATTAAACATATTTTCACATTAGTCATGTTGTCATAGAAGAAATAGAACAAAAGAAAATAACCACAAAAACCCCCAACAAAGTGAACATTGTATGTTTCGATCTGCATTCAGACTCCATCAGTTCTTTCCCTGCACATGGATTGCATTTTCCATCATGAGTCTTTTGGAGTTGTCTTGGATCATTATATATCAGAGAAGAGCTAAGTCAATCATAGTTGATCATGGTACAGTGTCGCTGTTACCATGACAATGTTCTCCTGGTTCTGTTCACTTCATTCATCAGTTCATGGAAGTCTTTCCAGGTTTTTCTGAAATCAGCCTGCTCATCATTTCTTATACCACAATAGCATTCCATTACATTCATATACTACTTGTTCAACTATTCCCTAACTGATGGGCATCTCCTCAATGTTCAATTCTTGGCCTCCACTAAAAAAAGCTGCTATAAATATTTTTGCACATGTACATTTTTCCTTTTGTTATAATCTCTTTGGGATATAGACCTGGAGGTGGTATTGCTGGGTCAAAGGATCATGCCCTAATTTTTTAAAATAACAGTTTATACATGGAAAAATCGTGTAAAGTTCTCTAGTCTTAAAAAAAAAGTTAAGGAGAGTTTCTTAGTTCTTTGATAAAAACGTCAAATGAGTGAAAATGTCTATGAGCAAAAGTCAATAAATGCCTGGTATCTCATTAACAATGCCCTCGGGGGCAGCTAGGTGGCAAAGAGGAGAAGTGGATAGAGCACAGGCACTGGATTCAGGAGGGCCTAAGTTCAAATCCGGTCTCAGACACACAACACTTACTAGGCTGTGTGACCCCGGGCAAGTCACTTAAACCCATTGCCTAGCAAAAACAAAAACAAAAACAAAAACAATGCCCATGAACTTTATTTCTTCCAAAGAAAGAAGTTCTAAAAATCAATCCAGCCACACACTATGCCCCTCCTTTAATAAAGGTCTTGGAAAGAGATGGGCCATTCTCCTTCTCAATCAACAAGCATATGCTAAGGACTAGGAAAAACAGAGACAGACAAAAATTTAACAGTTCCTGCTCTCCAGGAGCTTATCAGTGTAAACAGCAGGTACACATATTAAGTGCTCAAAACATTTCAGAGTACCTACATACTCTCATAAAGTCTTATACCAAAACTAAACTACCGGTGTGCCATCAATGTCTTCAATAAAGCAACCACAGATATCTTCGCCTCTTTTGCCTATCTACCTTCTTTCCAGCCATCTTCCCAAATCCTCTTTCAAGGTACCCCCACTTCTTCAAACCTCCCTTCAAATCCCATTTCCCTGATTAAACTGTCCTTAAGCACTGAGCTAGGACTAAAGGGGCTGAGAGGTTCCCAATTTCCTAGTCCTTGTGTCCACTTAACTTCCTTCCCATCTCCTTCCTCCACTGTGGACACCTTGAAAATTAAGGATATGTTCATTACCAACCAAACCTTAATTCTGGAACTTTCCCTCGTTTCCCTACCAACCCCACCCCCAGGAAAACTCCTCAGGAAGAGTGAGTGAAATATCCAACTACAAAAGGGAGTCTATCTACCTCAATACTACACCACAGCCTAGAGCAGGGGTTCTTAATCTGCAGTCTGTGAACTTGTTTAAATAAACATTTTGATAACTATTTCAATATTACTGGTTTCCTTTTACATTCTATGTGTTCTATTTTGTGCATTTAAAAACATTCTGGAAAAGGATCGATAGATTTTACCAGACTGACAAAATGGTACATACCACACACCAAAAAGGGGGGATTAGGCCTTCGCCTCCTTCCCCTACAGTCAGTCTGCAGCAGTTGGCTCAGCAAACGAGGATAAGGATGAAAGACTAGGGGAGAGGAGTCAGCACTGCCTCTGGGTTAAAACAAAACAAAACAAAACAAAACTACAAACCACGATGACTCACCTGTCTGGTGTCTCCGGGCACTGTCTGTGGCCCAGTTTCTCTCCACAGCCGCGGGGAAGAGGCTGCACAAAAATGCCGAAGAAGCAGAAGGAAGCGGCTATGGACTAAAGCGAATGGAAGCGAACCAGGGCTAAAGCACAAATTCTCCAGTATGTAGGTCTACGTCAGGAAAGCTCGACATCCTTCAATAGACCAACGTCAAGAGACTAAGCTACAGCTACCTGAGACGGACTCCCCGACCCCAATCAGTAAAAGTAAAAACAATTCCCCAAGGCCTCGCCCCTTCCTCTAGCTATCTAAGCAGACTTTCCTGAAGCCAAGGAAGAAGGCGGCCGCGGAGCAGCCCATTGATGACAAAGGCGAAGGAGTCCTCCAACGAAATGAGCTGCAGGAGCTGACGCTAGCCCAATCAGCAACGTAAGAGGGAGAAAGCCGCTGCCCAATCCCGAGCTGTAGCTTTCCAGCGATGGCTCCCACAGTCTGTGGCCTTCCGACTTCTGCTCGCTGGAGGCGTGCCCAGCTGAGCCAATGCCGACGAGCCAGCGGTGCGGAGCGAGCTCCTTAAACGCGCCAGCTTCTCAGCTGATTGTTTTAGTCCCCAGTTGTTTTTTTTGCAACTGTGGAGCCGCAGGAGGAGGAGCCCAAATCGTACCCCGCACCGCCACCCCCGAAAGCGCGAAGCCTCGGAGATTAGGCAGAGGTTTAGGGATCCTGTCATTATTGTTCCCAGAGGGTTGTAACTCCCTTCCCCGCCTTAACTGTGGAGGCTCCAAGTTCGGTCTTTTCCTGTCCGCTGTGCCTCCCACCTTCATTCAGCTCCTTCCATGAGGGTGACTGTCAGAGGCTCCCCAGCCGCTTTTGAGGCTGGCGGGGGGACGACAATGGCCAGCAGCAGAGTCGAGAAAGAAGAAAGAGCAGCAGCTGCCACTGTGGTGCCTGGCTCCGTGCAGCTCATGCTAAGCATCCTGCATACCTCGTTATACGCTGCCCTCTTCTCATTTGCCTACCTGCAGCTGTGGCGGCTGCTCCTTTATGAAGTGCGGAGGCTGAGTTACCAGAGCCTCTGCCTCTTCCTTTGCCTTTCCTGGGCAGCACTCAGGACCACTCTTTTCTCTGCCGCCTTCTCCCTTGGCGGCTCCCTGTCACTTCTCTGGCCTCCTTCTAACAACCTCCATTTCTTCTCCCGCTGGCTACTCTACTGCTTTCCTTCCTGCCTCCAGTTCTCCACACTCTGTCTCTTCAATGTCTACCTGGCAGAGGTAAGCAGGATCGGAGAGGAAAGGGAACTGGGACTTGGGGCTGCGAGTCCGGGGGTGGGGGGAAGGGGAGAGGGGAGGGTACCAGAGATAGCCTCCCAGAATGTATGAGAGTGAGGTGTTTTTGTTAAGGACTGAACTGGACACTAACCCGGGTTATTGGTGAGAAACTGACCTTTTGCCACGAACATCCTTCCATTCTAAACTTAAGCAGCTGACGCTTGAGTTTCGTGTCCAAATGCTTTGTAACTTAAATTTGCAAAACAAGCTTTTTGTTTAGCAAACTGACTTCCCTAAGAGAGCTGCAGCATTAACAAAGTGATAGGGGGAAAAAGGTAGTATTTCCAGTAGTCCTGCTGTACCTGAACTGCTAAATCTGGCCCACTGCCAGCCATTACGTCACCAGGCAGAAGCTGTTTCTCTATTGTTGCTGCATTTCTTTTATTAGCAGCTTATGTACCCTCCTACATCTTTTTCACTATGGCTCAAGAAATCTCACATTGATGTGGCTCATGTCTTTGGTAGCATAGTCAGTAACAATGAGGTGTCAGGAGATAGACCTGTCTTGGTACTTCTATAAAGGTATATAGAAAGTATTATGAATGAATGAGCATTCTATGTGCCAAGTGCCCTAACCACTTGGTGCTTTGTCAAACCTCTTTAAAGTCAGTCCTGTCGTTTCTAATAAGAGTAAAATATTAGTTTAATTTGTGCTTATTACAAAAACCATTCAACCGTTTTTGCATTAAATTTCTTTATTGCTGAATTCCAATCAGACACCTTCTGGTGTATTACTGCTGGTTGGGTTCCGTTGTTCTGCAGCACTTAGGTATTTGACCCATTTCAAACAGGCATGGGTACCTGAAGTTGTCATATATGCTTATATGACATGTGCTTTCAGTGCTTCTAAAGTTCCCAAATGATGCAAAAAGGGATTTGGGGAACCTAGGAGACTTTTATCTTTAAAAAGAAATATAATCTACCCCAATATATTTGTGTTACCTAGTATTGTGTTATTAATCAACAAGCATTTATTAACCATCAACTATATTCCAGGTTTTATGCTAATGTTGAAAATGTGAATAAAAGGTGAGCTAGTCCTTATCCTCAAGGAACTTTTTCCTACTAAAGGGATACAGTATGTTCTCAGATAAGTAAATAAATGAGGTATACCAAATAAATACATTGTGTGAGGATACTTTGGCTGGAACAGATTGTGTGAGGGGCAGTGATGGATGTCGAAGACTGGCGAGACAGCTGAAGTCAGAGTATAGGACTTTAAATGCCAAAGTAGTTTGCCTTTTAACCTAAAGGAAATAGGGAGCTATAGAAATCTCTTGAGTAGAGGCTTGACATGGTCAGAACTGTGCCTTAGAAATATTAATTTGGCAGCTATATGTAAAAGAGTAGTTTATTGAATTGGTATATTGAACACTTCTTTTGATATATAACCAACTTTCAGTTATCTTTGAGAGAAAGTGCAATCTGAAAAGTTATGGGTAATTTCAGCCTCAAACCCTTCCAACCATTTAAAGAGTCATTAACCATATGAAACAAACTCATCCTGAGTTTCACAAAAGGACAAGGAGGAAAAACTAAGAAAAGTCCTAAGTCATGAAATGCTTAAAACTGAGGCACCAAACAAAAGAAACAAAAGCCAAGGGTAATAATGAATTGGATGATGAACCCCTAAATAAATACTCTGTGTATATTGGTCTTCAATTTTGTTTAAAATCTGTATGAGACCTTTCATATTAGTGTTCCTATAATACACATTCTCTATCCTTCCTATTCTAATTTATCTATAGATTTTCCTTAAATGAGACATTGACATTTACAAGTTTCAAATCGCATTCATACCAATGTAAGCATTTTAGGTCTGTGATCACTGTGATAATTATATTGGAATTTGTTTGGCTTAAACACTAAATTTATGAATTACATTTTGCAGAAGAAAAAATAATGGCATCTGTAATCTAAGTTCAAGATTTTCAAATTATACTTCCATAGCATGATACCTTGAAATATTGGAATTAATTGTCTGACATAGTAATCCAATGAATATCTGAACTACTAAGAAAAACCCCTAAGCATTGGGGGGGGAAGGTTAAACTATCATTTTTAGTGATAATCAAGTTAATAGTTGGAAGATTTTGAAGAGCTCTACAATATTGTAGAAAACAATTTTTTTCTTCAAGCTATTTGGAAACATCTACTTAAAAAGTAACATTCTAATTAGAAATCACCTACCTAGTTAGTTAAAAATAAGTCATGATTATAGATTTAGAATTGATAGGTGACTTGGAGTTCATCTAGGTCATTTTACAGGTAAAGAAAGTGAGGCATAACAAGTAAAATTACACAGGCAAGTAAAAAAGCAAAAAAAAAATGAATAATGATAGCTTAGTATTTATAGAGTGCTTTAAGATTTGCAAAGTATTTTTTCATGTTTACTTATTTGAGTCTCCTAACTGTCATGTGAGGTAAGTACCACTATTATCTGCAATTTACAGGTAAGGAAGCTGAGTTTGAGAGAGGTTAAATGACTTGCCCAGGTCATATGACTAATTAAATGTCCAAGGCAAGAGTCAAACTTGGGTCTTTCTGATTCCAAATCCAGCATTTTTCTACTGTGCCACCTAACCACTTCAAAGAAGAACTAATGTCTTCTTGCTCCAAATTTAGTATTAAACTTAAAAAAAAGTCAGATGTTATTCAGATTTAACAATTTTGATTGTCTTTCTCACTAATTTTATTCCTCATCATTTATAAAGAGGCATCATGGCCAGCCTCAAAGGCAGGAAGACCTAAGTTTAAGTCTTGCTTCTGCATACTGTTGGTGTGATCCTAGGCAAGTCACTTAACCTCTCACTGCCACCAGGCAACTGATGTGGTACAGACCTGCATTAGAAGAGAGAGTTTCCTTACCCAGGAGTTCTCTATACTAATGAAATTATAGGGCTCATGAAGAAAATCATTGAGATAACAAATGTGGGTGTCATGCCAGATTTTCACTGGACCAAATATCCCTTGTATTTATAAGTTAATTTTAATAATACCTTCTATTATTGTATTTCTGACTCTGCTCTCGTTATAAATTTTTTTAAGTAAGCAAAACCAAGCAATATAATGACTACCCCTGACTCTGTATACAAGATTCTATACCTATAATTCCCCTCTCTCCAACAGTTCAATGTGTGTTCTCCAAAACTGATTGGTCATTACAGTCTTTAAAGTTGGGTTTTCTTTTAGCATTCTAATAATTTAAATTATTTTAGTTATTATGTATATTCTGCTTACTTTATTCTATATCAGTTCATACAAATCTTCCAATGCTTTTCTGAATTCCTGTTATCCTTTATTTTGTACAGTTATATTATATGTCCTTCATATACCTTGATTTCTTCAATTATTACCCACTCAGTGGGCACCTACTTTGTTTTCAGGTTTTTGCTACCATAAAAAGTGATAACATGAATATTTTATTATACATATATTCCTGAGTTGATATAAAATCTTTCTTTTCCTTAGTTTCTTTTTAAAATAATATATAATTAGTTAGAAAACTTAATTGGTATTTTTGCATTTAATCCATGTTCTTATCAAATTTATAGTGTAGTGAGTATTCTCTGGCTTCCTCTTCCAGAGCCAGAATGGCTACATCTGCCCCTCTGGGCTCTAGAATATACTAAAAGATTTAAGGGTATCTCTCATCTCTACTTCCAGTGGCTCAAGCCCCAAACCAGCTCTTCCTTTCTCCCACCCCCAACATGGTCAGTGGCTAGCCTTGTTTCCATTTAACCACTTAACATCAAATAGCTTTTGCCAAAGGAAATTTATAGTGAAGATATCACAAAAATAAACATACAAAATATTTCCCGCTAGCATGTCAGCTGCATATTCTCCCTATATCAGTTTAGTTTTAGGAGGGAATAGACTCAAAACCTCCTATATAACATTAGTCCCACTAAGTTTATGTCTAGATGTGTCATGACTGCTGTGCTCAACTTCTGCTGGTCCAAGTCCTGAAGGTCACTCCTTGTTCATCAAGGCATAGATGCAGGACTGGCTGCAAAACCGAACCTGGAGTCTGATTGCTAGATTCCTAGGGCTTGATCACCTGACGTTTTGAAGCTCACAAGGTATGAGATTCCTCTTCCTACACTTAGAATGGAAAAAAACAAATGCAGAGACCAAGGATGAAGGCCTGTTTCTCAGAGTCATTTGTCCTAGATGGGAAGAAGGCCCCACTCATATTTGGGTCATCATACCTCTCCTAGAAGCAAGCTCTTAGCTTGCCTGTATAGATGACAGATACTATCTCTGCATATGATTAGACTCCACTCAGAAATTTTCATCAATTATTTTCAACTTTTAAAAGTCCTTTACAAAAAACATATAGCACTAGTATGAGGAGAGCTGATAAAGAAATCATTACTAGAATGGCAAATATACTTCCCAGATCCAGCTGCAGATTATTGCCTACTCTTCCCTACTTAGCTTCAGGAAGGTCCCAATAACCGTTCTATCTTGCCATTTTTGTTGGGAGTCCTGGGGAGGGAAAGGAGAAATAGAGGAATCCCAATTCTCAAGTAATAGGTCTTTATATTCAAGTACAGGGAATCCAGAATTAATGCTAATGCCATAAGTTTAAAAAATGTATAACAGAATATAGTATGATACTAGTTATGTTTGTTGCCTTAAGTTTGCTGTTTAAAGATTTTGTTCTGAAGTAATGTGAGAATTTTCAAGGTCCTTCTAGCTACTGCCCCAATAAACCAGCATAGGATAGAGACATAGAGGTAAACTGCATTTAGGGTTTATTTAGCTACCCAAGTGTAGTACATGCTTTCAGTAGGTGATGGGTGTGAGAGTCTCACAATTTAACAGATAACAAGGATGTAGATAGATAGCGATAGTATGGGTGTTTATGTTTGGTTTGTGGTTATGGGTGTTTATGTTTATATATATTTATAGATATGTGAATACATATGTTTGTGTAT